TGACATATAGCTTCGGTAGGCAATCACTGTCGTATCTATTATCTATAACGATTTTTTAAACAATTAAAGTAAATAGTTTGATCAAAATTTTAAAATTACTACAAGTTTTCTTTTTCTAGGTAGGATATATGGTCTCGACTATAACCATTGTCATATATATTTTTTACAACGGTTTCCTAAACACCCGAGGCAAAAGGGTTTATCAAAATTTTAAAATTGTGACTCGTTTCTTTTTTCTGGGAAGAACATATGACCTTAGTTATTTGGCAACCATTGTCATATCAAATTTTTGCAAGAATTTCCTAAACAACTGAGTCTAAAAGGTTAATAAAAAATCGAGTCTAAAATAGAGTCAGATCTAGTTTTTTTTTTCTGGAAAGGATATATGGTCTCAGTTATTTGAACAACCATCATCGTATCCACTTTCTGCTGCGGTTTTATGAATAATTATTGTCATATGTCTTGTCTAGGGTTATATTCGTAAAAGAATAACAGGTTACTATTTCACACTTCTCTTCTTCGTTCCTCCGTGAATGAGTGTCGTCATTCACTACTCGACTCACTTTGTTCTGAATTGAAGGTCATCCTGAGTGCTCGACCGCCATCACTGCTTTGAACTTCTTTATCGTTGTTCATTACTTGTTGTTGTTCTTGCTTCATTCGTCTTTACCATTGTGGTGAGTGCGATTGGCCTTACACGTGACACACTGTTAGCCACGTCAGAAAAAAAATAACGTCGTTGATCATAGAGGACTAAAAATTACAGTTGATCATGGAGAACTAAAAATTAACGTCGTGACATTTTCTTAATATATTAAAACTTTATATACTGGTTATACTAGAATCGACATAGACAATTGGAGTGGTGACAATTTTGTAATGAATTAGAAGACTTTCTGTATCAATTCTACCTAGAACTAACTTATAAAAAGTTGTAGTGATGTTAATGATGAAGCCTACAAAAGCTTTTATGTCGTTTATGTTAATAACCTGCATAGCAAGTGAAAACTTTTTATAGCGTTTTCATGTATGTCGGTTTCAGAATCGGCATAAAAAACATTTTCTAATCGATATAAAAAGTCTTTATTGCACTAGTGATCCGTCATCAACCCTCACAATTATTGCAAATCAGACTCGTTATTAGCAACTTTCACATAATTTTCATTAACAACTCAAGAATACTCAAGGTGAAAGTCATCACTAAAACGAGTTCGGCCAAGTCATATCCTACCACACATGTATCAACGATGTCATTGTACAAAAATAATGATCAAGACTAACCTCTCTCTAATTATGCAATACGCAATGTTGATTCTAATCAGCATGCATATTTTAGGAAAAAAGCTACATACCTTTACAAAAGCATTTCTTGACAAAACTATAAATCCTTTATAAAAAATTTCTAAAAAAATTGCAAACTTTCTAATGATACATAATTATCAAGTCTTCAGTATACTGAAAATATTTATTGATTTATTTGTAGACAAATTGAAAATCGTTCTCATGAAAAGTTTTGTACACAAAACTTGAAATCTTTCTAAGACAATTTTTTTGAACAAAACTATTGCTTTCACAAAAGTGTTAGGCTAGGAGAGTAACCATGTAATTTCTAGTTAGGGGCTGCAATATTGGGTGATTTGATTGAGTTTAATATTGATAATTTTTGTGTTTGTTATTCTTTTTTAAGATTAGAGTTTTAAATGGATAAATCTACACTATTTTGTTCTATTAAAACATCTTCTTTTACAGTGTCTCTTTGCTGGGCGAGCAGAGTCTCGTTGCTGGGCGAGCCAATCGCTAGGTGAGCTGGTCAACTCGCTGTGCGAGAAAGTCAACATGTGAATAGTGCCGGTCAACTATGAACCGTGCCAATCAACACGTGAATAGTGTCAGATGAATAGTGAATAGTGAATAGTAGAAATTTCAGAAATTTTTTATCTTCTCAAATCCTTATTCATATGCAAAATAAACACATAAAAACATTCATATCGATATAAAATCAATTATATATACAATTTATACAACTTTTCACGAGATTTAACTTCATAAACACATCAAAGGAGATTAAAATAAGTGCTCAATATATGTAATTTTTGACACTTATCAGAATTCCAACCTATTTTGACATCCCTACTTTCGAAAATATAATATTTTTATGTATTTGTTTAAACTTTTTAAAATAATAAGTGGAATTGTTTAAACAAATTTATGTTTTAAGTTGTCTAGAGTATTGAAGCTTATTAGAGCATTTATAAATGTGTTTCATGAAAACTTGATTTGAATAGGGATATATAAATAAATATATATATATATATATATATATATATATATATATATATATTTACAAGAATGACATAATTCAGTTTGTCATCTAATACAAAGAAAATAAAAATAAAAATGCATGAATGATACATACTATTACTATCATTGTCTTTCCTTATTTATGAGTATAGACACTATCTACTCTGCTTTACTACTCCATTAGGGTTTATAAGTACACAACCTAGTTTATAATACCTCACATGTGTTATTGATGTTATTATCTCATAATCATGAAATGTGTGCCATCTTTTGTATAAAAGAATTAGGTTATTTACAATTAAACTAATTGCATGTATTTATTTAACTCATGGTCGGCTTGTAATCCAATAGATTAAAAGAGATATTATTAGAATATGTTGTGTTGATAGGTTTTGCACTTAACCGTAATGGAGTAGCTAAGTATTGGTAGGTAGAGTGGTATTCTAGAAAGAGTGTCTGGTAGTGTCGTAAGTTGTCAATTTTTAGACTCACAAAGGAAGGATAATGATAGAATATTATGTGTCATTCATGCACAAAATACTTTTCTTTTTATACTTTTTTCTTATACATCACAAATGTAGGTTTTTACATGGTTTTTCTCTCTTGTTATTATTTTCACGAGACCTAAATTTAGTTTTTACCTTTCCGTCCAAATTTAAGTTTCAATGCTTATAAATATGTATGCTATAAAAAAATGAATAATATTTAAGCTTAAGCAAAAACCACACTCTCATTAAAACCAACTTTGACATTATCTCTAACGCTCCTCTTTTAAGTCAAAACTGTGTTTACACATACAACCCCAATTAACTCTACTAAATTACTAAACCTTTCCACCCTAAATGATTTTCTAAGTATACGAGCAACTTGTACTTCAATCTACATTGTTCTAATATATGTTTAACTTTTAATTTGATAAACGGACTCAGATAACAATATATGAGTATTCTGGAAAATGAGTTTAAATCATGTTAAAGTTCTAAAAGAAGATTATATTTATATAAATGATATGACGTGGAGTGTTAAATGATGAAACTCACATGTTTTAAATTAGTACTATAAAATTTATTTAAATCTTTATAAAATTGTGATAGAATTTTTCTTTTATCTTTTACATCTTTGTGGTGTTTTGATATATATATATATGACTTTGTATATAGAAGATATTGTAAATGATGGTGAGATACAACAAAGAGACTATCAAATATTGGAAATGGTAGATTAAGATTATGTATAAATATTTCTGTATATCGGTATGTTTCAGATATAATGTAATGTTTATCGGTAATTCCTGCATCAACGAGCTCTGATTCTCCCAAATACTTTCTCCTCGTCAGTTTTTGCATTCATAAATAATATTGGACAAGGAAATCATATAAAACACAAAAGAAAAGCACCAAACAAGGGATCACTTTTAATAATACATAGTCCTAGCAATGAAGTTACAGACAACTCAAAAGCATTCAACCTTATTACATGATCCATGGTTCCTGCAAATGGGAGTTACATACAACCCCAAAGCATTCAACCTTATCCCACACATCACACATATATTACAACAAACGTACACAACATAATATAATATCACACACATAACATTTATTCATAATATTCAAGTTGCTCTTCTTCAATCAGAAAGAACTTGAACAGTTTCAACCAAAGGTCTTCCTCCTTCTTCCATATACTTCCTTTTCAGACGCAACTGCCTTTCTGCAAATACTTTCTCAGCCAACCTTGAACACAAACATCCTCTCAAAATTAGCATTCAATATATAATCAACTAATTATATATATACACACACATATTAGTTACTGTGGAAAAAAAAACTACAGAAAGTGAGTGTAGGCACCTGTCAAGAGCTTGAGCATTTGTGTGGTCTAGTTCAAATGGCTCAAATGTATTCACATTCATCCTCTTGACTTTTTGGGTCAACAGACCCTTTCCCACCTTTTCAAGGTTATCCATGTTCTTTTTAGAAGCATCATCCATTTCATTCATGGATGGAGGGAGGTTATACTCCTCAATTACATATATATAATCAATAATTTTAACTTTTACATGTTAAATTAATTATTTTGTTTTGTTTTCTTCTATAATAAGTATAGGAAAACATTATGCAGAAAAAGCTAAGCATATACCTGAATTCGAAGATAGTTTTCGTCAGGTAAGAGGCCAGGGAAGATTGTTGCAAGATAGTAATGAGTCATGTCTGTGCTGAATGCAACTTCACTGATAACATCCCATGTGAAAAGTCAGCCATGAAAGCTTGGCAGCCACGATCAAAGATTCACCTAATTCCTCCTTAGGTGGGTATCCAGTTCCTAATGAACAGCATCAAAATTCCTTATCTCCACTGTGTTGTACACTCCCTCGCAGCAACCAGGCCTAAAGTTTCAATCAAACTCTTCAGTTATTTCTACATATTTCTTGCAAACAATCTCTAGGTCTTAACTAGGTTAAAATCTTACTACTACCATTTCTCAATATATGTAAAAAGATAAAGAAGATATTAAATTGCTTTTTATTCACAAAATATAGATTTAAATCTGAGATAGTGATGAATATATATTTACTGGATTGTTAGAAGCCATAGCACCATCGACAAATGAAATTTAACACCATCGTTCTGAAATTCGTGGGGATGGCAAAAAAGTTGGTGGCAGCCGAAGTGGCAGACCTAGGTCTGAGAGCACCGCATTCAGTAAGTTTGTGTCTTCAGCTGCATCATCATCAAAACCACACAAACACTTACCATCCAAAAGGGTTATTCATATCACACTATATAATATACACAATTTCTACCATTCGAACCTTGAAGCTTGAGAATATAACTGGGTAGATTTTCCGCTCATCGAAAGATGTTATTACCACGTTCGTCAACGTCTGATTCAGTCGTGTCTCTTTCAATAACTCTCTAGCTTTGTTTCGTAAGAACATTCCATCATACTTGGGACATCTGATAGGATCCCAGAGAGGCCTGCATGGTTTTGCATCACAAGAACCAAAACCTTTCAGCAAACTGATTAAGGTAAGAAAAATGATTTTTTTGAGACACCTAAATTTTTTATAGTCATTTGACACACCTAAATTTTTTATATTCATTTGACATAATTTTTACTTATTTTTTCCTCCTTTTTTGAAAAAGGGTAATGATATCATGATACACTTTTACATTCCTTTGACACACACTACAAGGATAAAATGGTTAAAAAAGTGTAAACTTCTGTATTGTTTTAAGAAAGAAGAGAATAAAAAGTAAATAAAGGTAGTGTTAAATGAATGTAAAATATTTAGATGTGTCAAAGAATTTTTACTCTTTGAAAAAATATAAAATTTTACACTTTTATAACTATTTTACCCTTATATCCTGTGTCAAATGAATGTAAGAGTGTGTTATAGTATCATTTCTTTTTAATGCAAAGGTAATAATTAAACCATTTTTATTAAAGTTTACCCAACTACATATACTTCTGCTAAGTTTATAATTTAACTATGAGATATAAATGTATCAAATATTTGTTCTGAGTATGTGTTAACCCCAGTTTTACGAGCTTCATTCTTACCTGAGTTTAAATATATGAGGACCATTTTCCTTGTAGAACTGTACGACTTCTGATGGAGTAAAAAGAGGTTGATTGGAACCAGGTGAGCTTGGAGCTGTTAACATAAGAGTCATGAGTCCACCGGTGCTTGTTCCTGATATCACATCGAAATAATCCGCAACGATGTTGTTGGATCCTTAGCCTGCAAACTCAAACACAACCTCAAATGTTACATTAATGTATTCAATATTTTTATAAGGTTGTCTCGTGAAATCTTGAGCAGTCCTGTGAAAATATAATGCAACACATATACAGATTTTTTTACATTTTCTAATATATCTTAATTTTTATCTGTTGGTTAGGTATATTCTTTTTGCTTAAATAGCTCAAAAGTGAATTAATTAATCTTCTGTGACGAGGTTGTTTGAAATATACTATGCTTGATGTAGATTTACATGGAAATGACTAGGAGTGTATAAATCATTATACAAAAAAGCTTCAGAACAATTGTGAAGGTTCATGATATAACTTTCCCAACAAGATTGTTAAAAAGAATTTTCAATTAAAGAGATGAACTATCATCAATATCTTATTGATAATATAATGTATCCCTCAAGTATTATTTAGGTATAATTTTTTTGTGGATAAAAAAAAACTCTATTTATAAATATATCATTATTGTATTGATTAAAAAAAAAGCTATATTCAACCAACTAAAATGAGAACATCAATCAATAGTGAATACATCATTAAAATTATAGACAATTTTATTAAATTCCTACAATGACAGTGATACAATTATCATACTTACTTTTTTCTTCTCCCCCATTTATTAAGCAAATTATATAGAGCATGTTAACTGTTTATGAAATTATATTATGACCTAATTCCATTTCCTCTTCATATGTTGTTTCTTTGTGGAAAATGAACTAAATTCATCAGCCTCATACATTCCTTTAAAAAATTAAATAAATTGTCTCAAATTCTTTTTTTTTTTACTTTTATTTACATTTAAGAATGAAAATCATAAATTTTGGACAATCATTCCATGATATAGAACTTTACAAATTTATATTTATATTAACCATTTAAATGTGAAGTTCTTTATTATTTGAAGAAATAAGAATTATATATAAATTATGATGACTCAAAACAGTCCAAATGAGTTACCACATAATTAATTAAAAAACACAAACACTCTCTCTTTCTATTTAACTGACTATTCAAATATTAGTTAATAGTAACATATTCATTGTTTTCTTTTTCATTTTTTTTGTTAACAAATAAAATATATTAGTACATGATTTTTGTAAGATATTTCAGTCCATACATAGTTGACATCAATAAGTACTGAATAACTACGTATAAAAAATAAGATGATAATTTTAATCCAAAACTTTAAAAGAATGAATTTTCCTATTCTTTATTTAATTTTTTTAATCTTTATTTAATGTGAGATTTAAATTCATAGATTTCCAATCCTATCCTATAAACTATACAAAAACAAAGAAAAAAAACAGAAAAACAGGAACTAAGTAAAAAGATCTCTAATATCCTCATCCTTGCAGTTATTGTTAATTTCTGCAAAAAATTTCCAATCAAACAATTGCAGTTATTGTTAATTTCTTGATTGAATAAATTGACCATACTTTATTCTCCATCTTGTAGAATCATTGTCTCCTCTGTTATTATGTATCAATAAAATCATCACAATTCCTTCACTAACAGAAAAAAACATCTAAAAAAATGAATAATATATATTGATATATTAGGACAGTGCAGCATAGATTGGATTAAAAAAAAAAAACTCTTATAGAATATTGAGTCAGACTTTTGTATTAAAAATCTAACTCCATAGTCAAAGTGAAGTAAAAAATGATAAAAAAATTGAAAGAAAAGAACAAATAAATTAAGCCTGTGGAAATTTTACTTTAATATATTAGGATAAAAAGTACATATTTGTTTATTCTTCTAAAATTTTAAATTATGTTTCTTTTGTTAAATTCTAGTTTTAGTCATCAAATATTTTTCTCTTTCCAACTCTGAAGTCTCTATTCTATACCTGAAATTAGTATTAATTTTAAGATAAACAATATTATTTAATTTGGAAATAAAAAATGCAGAGGTACGCACATTTATTTACTTCATCCAATTAAATAATTTTTTACTTTGTCCAATTAAATTATTTATTAAAACATTGATGAATTTTATTCACGAACTCAAAAACTTAAAACAAAATAACCAATCAAATCCAAACTCATTTTTCTTCTTAATATTAAATATTTCATCCTATAACCACATTTTCATTAGAAATAGCAAATAAACTCTTCTTATGTTTACGAAAATATCTAAATTGATCGATATGTATAAACGTAACATTTGACTTTGTTGTTGAGAGATAATATTATAAGTATTACTGATTTAACCTAAATGTCATCATGGTCTTCATAATCCAACAATTCTATGGAAAACAATAAAAAAGTTAATTGTTATTTTACATAAATTGTAATATGTTTTATAATAATCGTTATACCTCACAATAAACTAAACCAAAACATTTCAAGTAAAAAATAGAAAAAATTATATATTAAATAAATTCAAAATATTTAATAAAAACTTAATTAAAAATATTAAAAGCTATATTTTAAAATTTATATTTTAGAAACTTACCATAATAAATTGTAGCTATTAAAAATTAAATGGTAAAAATTCAATTGAAAAATATAAAACCTTTTAAATACTTGAAAATTTTAATAAAAAAATTAATTAAAAATATTTACATTTATAAAAAAAAATTAAAAATTAACTAAATTTTATATAAATTATGTTCTCATAACATGTTGTCTAGAGCTGTCAAAACCAGCCACCCGGCCCGACCTGACCCGGCCCACCACGGGTTGGTCACTTAGTGAGCCAACCCAACCCGGCTCATTTATTACCGAGCCAGAAAAATTTGAACCCGGCTCAACCCACCTCGGGTTGGTGGGTAAACGGGTTGGCTCACTGGCTCACTTAATTACAATTTTTTTTAAATAAAAAAAATTAAAAACTTTCTATATAATACAAATCTAAACAAATTTCACTCCCAACATGGGTGTTTAATTAATTTTGAAAATAAGGAACTTAAATAATTTTTTCAAGCAAAAACAAAATAATAAATATTTTTTTATAAAATTAAAATTAAATTTTAATAAAATAAAATTAGGTAAGTGGGTTAGTGGACCAACCAGACACACCATGGGTTCAATCCGCATGAACCGGATTTAAACGAGCCGGGTTGAAATCTGACCAGCATAAAAAAAATACAATTTTTTCTATCCCAACCTGGCTCAAACCCGTGGTGGTCCGGATTGGCTCGCGGGTTGTGACCCATTTTGACAGCTCTAATGTTGTCATTACTTTTTATTTTTGTGCTGATGTCATATCTATAATAATATATAATAGAAAATATTTACATATAGTTTTTTTCTTTCAAAAATTACTTTTAAATATAATTGTATAATAAGTCACATAATTATTAACTTTTCTAATTCTAATTAAATTATTTTATAAATATCTCTTACACAAAAGAAATTATATATGTTTTAAAAGAGCCAAAAGAATTTAATGAGAATTGAAGCAACCAGCTCACACCTGTATGAAGCGACACAAACTCATTAACTGCATAAGATGGCAGAAGAACCACATCCACACTTGTAGATTTTCTTTTCTATAAAAGAATATATATAAAAATTTAACAAAGTATTTAAGGTGTTCATACCCGTCTACATTTATGTGAAAAAATATCTATAAATTAAATCTTTTAGAATTTTACAACCTTATCTTACTTATGAGGGGCTAGGAATTTTCTTAGAGATGATATTGATTTTGTAATTTATGATCATCCCTGTTTTCTCTACAATATATAATAACAAAGAGACTTTTTTAAGTTATATATATGATTTGGTATAACTCTTCCTATTTCTGTATTAATCATGAATTGAATTGGGACCATTATTTCTAATAACTCATAATATAATAAATTTTCGAAGATTACATTTTAATAATTTTTTAATTGTATATAGTTAAAACAAATGTTTTGAGTTAAATAATTTTGTTTTTCTTTTTATGTCTTATAGTATTATTTAAAATAAAAGACTTTGATTTGTTTTACTCGATGAAGGAAATATTATATATTTATATCACAGTATTGGTGGCATCAACCACGAACACAATTTTAAATTATATATTATATTAATATTTATGGTGATACAATATTATAATTTTTTTGGGGTCACATACAAAATATAGTATTCTATTTTAAAATAAAAGAAGAAGTGGATAACCTCTCTACCAAACAAACAGCGTACTTTCTTCGTTTGTAAAAGTAATCAATATAATATTTTTTATTAAATAATTATTATAACTTTATATATATTCTTAAAAAATATTATTTAATTTAATAAAAACACATAAGGATGCTCAACCATGGGAATGTCTTATAATAAAAAGACTTTATAAGAGAATCTTATGAGAGAAATCATGGGATCATATGTTTTGAGGCTATATTTATAAGATCTCCTATTCAAACATGCTGGTGATATAATACATAATTTAGACCTAAAGTCTTAAACAACATCTTGAAAAGTAATCATATTACATATAATATTTATTTTCTGATAAAAAGTCATAACATTTACCTTCTAGAAATTTGGAAAATGTATCATTGAAATCATAAAAGTAATAAATGAAGATATAAGATCATAATCAATATTACTATAGATTTCATTTGGGAGTCGTGTGAACACGAATTTGTACTTAATTTTATACTGTGGAAGTATGTTTATTCAAATACTCAGAGTTATTTATTATTAGTGGTTCCTGGAGGATATATATATATATACTTGGATGTTTCAACCTGTATATAATCTATATCATAAATAATAATCTTACAGAAAGTAGAATATTAATGATATTTCTTAGTTTATTCCTGCAGAAAAATCTACCCTCAACATTTAGTTAGAACATCTAAAGTATTCCAAAAAATACAATCAATTATTCTTATATCATTTCCACAATATTTAATTCAGAATATAAACAATATGTGAAAGTGCTCAATATATGTTGTTATATTCATCTTCCTGTTGCAGTCGTA